TCCGGTTTACTGATCACATCCCTGTCCTTATTATACATATGGGCCCCGCTCTCCATAATAGCCCTCTTGAATAGGCCTTTAGATAGTGGAGAGACTATATGTGCGGACACCGACCAACTGCCGGCGCTCTGACCAAATATAGTGATCTGATCTTTGTCTCCACCAAATAAATGTATGTTATCTCTAACCTATAATTAATTATAGCATTAATTGATACTTTTTTGTAAATAACCTTGATTATAACTTTTTAAATACCCATTTAAGTGCCAATAACTGGTCAAAAAAGCCCACATCTCCGGGGGCGTCCTCCCGATCCCCGTATAAGAAGCCAAGCTGACCTAATCTATAGTTTGTGGCCACGAGTACGACACCATTAGTGGCCAAAACACTGCCGTTATAGTCGGCCATAAATATTGAGCCCTCCATCAGACCCCCTCCGTGTATCCAAAACATCACTGGTTTTAGTGGTGAGCCTTTCATTGATCTATTATCTCTCGTATTTTGTGTCCATATGTTTAGTACCAAACAGTCCTCACTTTGGATGAGATTAAGCTCAGAGTTAATGCCAGTATTAAACATATCCAGTGTAGAACTTGGGAGTTGCAAACAAGAGTTCCCGGGTGCTGTTGCATCTATTATTTCCTGAACATAATATTTTAATTATTATTTTATATAATTTATAACAAAATGACTAAAATCTTACTTTCGATGGCTTTTTAATGGGCTCTGGTTTTGCAAACCTAAGCGCACCGACCGGTGGTTCGGCATAAGGTATACCCAAAAACTGGTCAACACTTGTGTTCAACACATCTATAGTGAGACCTCTCACTACACCTGATGTCGTGTTCACATCAATACTATTTGCAAATTCAACACAAAATATTATACTAACAAAATAAGTAAATAAATATAATTTAGACATTATTTCACTCAAATTGTATTTATTTAATTTGAAAAACAGTTAAAATATATTAACTTTAGTACTACAAATAACTTTCTATCATTTATATACAGTCTGACATTTCATAATAAACCTTCATTTATTATATCTTTGATATGAATTGCTTGATAATATAATGTACATTATTGTATATGTTTAGAATCAACCATGAAATTTCTGTATTATCGAAATAAAACTTATTTGACACTAATTCCGGTTGTGTACTCATGCACTTGCACATTTTTAGAAACCTTTGATTTTATTATTGATACTTACCTGTTCACATTTCACTCTCGTATACTTTTTTAAATATGATTTATATTAAATATTGATAATATAAAAAGTGCATTAGGTTCTCAATTATGAAATTATATATTCATATGACACATTGTTTTAATATACTGTATATTTCTAATCCTGGTTAAATGCAATTTATCATATATTAAACTTGAAATTTATTTTGTTAAAATTATTTTATATTTTATATAAGTTTATTCAATTTTCTATTCAATTAAATAGATCAATTGAGTAAATAGTTGGAATAAATCAAAATTTATTAATATACTAAATGTCATGCTTGCTGTTTTGAATAAAAACAATAAAATAAAATTTATAATTGTAATATCAAATTCTATAATATAGAATCTATATCATAATACGGTAACATAAGTTAATGCAGTAGTATGGATTAACTTATAAACATGTATAGTGTAATATTTTATATTATGAATTGTAAATTACAAATAATAGTCTTTCCAAAAGCCATCACAAGTGGTGTGAAAGGGATTATCCAATACTCGACTCATATTTCGTGGATTCAAATCACGGACTGAAATCTCATTTTTGACCAATAGTTGCGGCCAAATGTCATCCGGTTTACTAAAAACAATATAAATAATTTGTTAAATAATAGACCTGGTTTAACAATATTTTTAAATATCAATTTATACCCAGTTTTAGCAAAATTGGTCCACATTTTCATGATATCTCTACTGAAAACAGTCTCTTCATGACTGAA